TACTCCTCGGCTCCATTCAGAGCTCTGGGATGCCACCAAGTGATCATCCAGATGCACAGATAGGGTGGCACATACAGAGCATGCTTGCATAGGAACTCTGATCTGATGAAGAAAAAGTCCAGGCCAAAACAGTGATGGAGCTCCAGCCCCTTCAGTGTCTGACAGATCTGAGCCTCAGCAGGGATACTGCAGGGAGAGAGACAACAGCTAGCAGCACCTTTGTCCAGTCAGAAAATAGGCTGCGAGGAGAGCAGTCATCAAGCTGTGTGGCAGGACACAGGCTTGGGCTGGAGACGGAGAGGATATGAGCAGACCAGATATCCAGAATGAAGTGCTGGTTGAGGCCTTACTCTACATGCCATCCATAACTGCTAAATGACTGAATTTAAGTCCATAGGAGACTAAAATATCACACACCTCAAGCAGGTAAGAGAAAGGCCACAGTGCATAAGGGACTAGCAGTCATCATAGAGGTGCTTCTTGTGGCTGGATTCAAGGCCTTCTGTTTCTCTATACATGAGAACCACAAGACATGCAAAGACAGAACATCACCCCTCAGCTCCCAGATCTTTTTCCCAGCCTCATATGCATGTGCCATATGGTTAAGTGACAGTGCTCCAGTCAGCTATGGCAGCAACAAGAGTATTCACCTGTTTCATGACTCGGCTTTTTTCTCTGCCAGTTCAAGAGAGACAGCTTCTAATTTCTAAGTTACAATTGAGAAGCATTGCTCAGCTATATCACTGATATTTGGCCTGTCAGGTCACATTTGATATGTTTATTTTTACTATTACATTAGCTACAGCATTCTGTATTTCATTTCCTTGTTCTCCCCCACACACACCCTGGGGAGAACTGAGCTGAATGTGACAGCACTTCTTGCTTACTGTTTGACCACAGATTGATTTGCTAGGCGAATATGACTCAAAAAGAATGGCTGGAAATAAAAGTTTCATCGTAGTATTATGTATAAACAGAATCCAGATAACTGACCAGCTGTTCAGAGCCACTGTTTTCTGTCACCAAGTCACAGCAGCTCTTGCCAGACACTGCCAGGGTGCAGCAAGGGCCAGCTACTCCCTAAGGGATGAGGAGTCAAGTTAAGTAAGATAAAGCAAACAACAAAGAAGGAGCCTTGCTAGCCAGGGCCCATCCCAATGTATCCAGAAAAGGAGAGCAGGGCAGACTCAGGGCTACCAGCCAGGATCAACCAAGAGTCCAGACTTTCAGGCATGTTCATGCTGAAGAGGCACGCCCTAGGTCAAGCTGGGAAGTCAGTCCTCAGGTCAGGATCAGATTGTGTGATGGCAACCACGGTCACATACACAGTGATCAACAGACTGGTCCATAGAGATGAGACAGGTCTGAGATCAACCCAGAAAATCAGTTCACAGGTCAGGAAACAGATCAACAAGATCCATGGCTGGCCATGGGCATGGACATAGGCATGGGCATGAGAAATGGAGACAAGCATACCTACACCATAGCTTAGGCAGGGACTAATAGTGCAGACCTAAGCTTAAATGGAGCTTCTGGGCCATCTACAGGCAGTGTGTCAGTGGAAGTCACAAGTGAGAGTGGTCAAGGCAACTAAGGTTTTTTTTGATGCCCTCAGGGTCCTGAGAGACACAGACCATAATAATTGCCTTTAGTTTTTATTGTGAAAACAATTTGGGATTCTTGCTTGTTTGTGACATAGGAATTTCACAGCCTTGCTTTGGCCAAGAGCTGGTTACAAAAGCATAATGAGCCTTGGCATAGATGGTGGATCAACAAGCAACAGAACCATGGCCAAAGCTGCTGGAAAGGTATGCTGTGATATCATTTGATTGGCAGCCTGTGCCAACAACTAGCTACAAAGACCTTCAGCAGTAGAAATTGAGGGGAGACACTTGGTCCACTTCATAAATTGAGTTTAGCAGTTTCACATTGCTATGTTTCTGTTCCCCCCATACCAAGTTGTGTGATCAATTTTCTCTGCCTCTTTAAGACCAGCTTGAAAGATTCAGCTCCTGAACTTGTAAGATGTACAGACTCGTATCTAAATCTACCGAAGTGGACATTACTTAATGAGAAGTGCTGCCATTTTGTGAGTTACAGATTGTCATCTCTTAGTTTCCATAAGGTAGATTCTCTTTAGGTTAGACTAGTCCAAAAAGGACTGTCGTGGTTTAATCCCAGCCAGCAACTAAGTACCACACAGCCACTCACTCACTCCCCCGTGATGGGACAGGGAAGAGAATCGAAGAGTAAAAGAGAGAAAGCTCATGGGTTGAGATAAAGACTGTTTAATAGGTAAAGCAAAAGCAAAGCAAAACAAGGAATTCATTCGCCGCTTCCCATTGACGGGCAGGTGTTCAGCCACCTCCAGGAAAGCCGGGCTCCACCAGGCATAATGTTTACTTGGGAAGACAAATGCCATCACTCCAAACATCCCCTTCTTCCTTCCTCTCCCACTAGCTTTTTATTGCTGAGTAAGACATCATATGGTATGGAATATCCCTTTGGTCATCTGGAGTCAGCTGTCCCAGCTATGTCTCCTCCCAACTTTTTGTGCACCCCAAGCACACTCACTGATGAGGTGGTGTGAGGAGCAGAAAAGGCCTTGACTCTGTGTAAGCACTGCTTAGCAATACCTAAAACATCCCTATATTATCGTGCTGGTTTTGGCTAGGATAACGTTAATTTCCAGCACAAATCCAGAACATACCCCTATACTAACTACTATGAAAAAATTACCTCTACCCCAGCCAAAACCAGCACAAAAACTGAGTAATTCTATTGACTGTGTTACAAGATTAGCAATACAAATGAGAGAAGAATCAGGCCAAATCGTACCTTTAGAGTTCAATGACTCTAAAGTCAATGAATATTTATCCTAGTCTTGCAAAAATAACCTAGCATCAGAAATAGGGGATGGAGAGAGGTTCTATCCCCAAACACTCAGTACTGACAGCAGGGCTTGTACCTGTCTGTACAGTACAGAAGAGAAAACAACCGGGCTTGACTACTGCAAGTGATATAGCTGCATTCCTACAGTTCTTTGTGCAGCCTAATATGCCTTGCTTTTCAAAGAGTTTCCAGTGGATACATCTAGAGGTCCAGTTCCAGGACAGGCTTGCCCATAAAAATCCTTTCTTACTTCTTTTAGCCAGCTGAGTGGAGCTGCTGAAATGCAATGGCCATGGATACTGTAGTTATCATTCCACAGTCACACCAGTCGATAGGTGGAGGATTTGCTTCTGTTGAATGGAGCATCTGTGGATTTTTTAAGTTGCTCTTTTAAGATCAAGTGCTGCTGTCAGTTACATGTTATAGCTCCCACTGAGCCAGTGGAAAATTCTCTAGGCTAGCACAGTCTTTCAAATGCAGACAAGTGTTTCAGTGATTAATGATGAGACATTAATTAGTGTAGCAAGACCTGGAACTTATTGTGATGAGTTGATCAGTTTAAAACAGAGACAAGTACTTAATTACATGGCAAGCTGTGAAATTCTGGAATCTGCTGCCCCAGTAAACCGTGGACACAGATGGCAGGACAGGGTCAAAAAAGATCTGAGAAATTCATGGTAAAAAGTCCATAAATAGACACTAAAGTGAAGATGCAGGACTTCCAACCACAGTCATTGTGGGTACCAAGGTAGTGTAACTGGATCATAATGAACCAGAGATAGTGGCCAGGCTTGTCTGCCCTCCCTAAAAACCACCTGCTCCTGCCACTACTAAATACAGTGTCTGAACTATGGTCTTTGTCCTGACGGGGCATTTTCTGCATTTTTAGGTTCAATTTTGTTCCTCTTGCAGGATGAGGTAGGAGACAAGGCTAGCTGAGAAGACAGCAAGTCTCCAGAGATGTTCCTTTTGCTGACCTCTTGCCAGAGGTTCATTTTTCAAGATTCAAGGAAATAGCCTTTTTTATCAAAATGCCTCAGCTGAAGTAAGTTACAGAAACTGGGAAATGTTAGCAACATTTTATGATTGTTATCCCCTACATAGAAGCAGTAAGGCAGCTGGCCATCTTCTATGGGTGAAATGTCTTAGTAGAGGATCAGAGATAACATTGGTCCATTACTTGATGAGGATTATCACCTTACAAATATGGATATAGAGAAAGCAGAGATGTTTAATACCTTCTTCACCTCTGTCTTTAACACCAATGACGGGTCTTGGGACTCCTGGAGCCCTGTGTTAGAAGACCATGACTAGGGGATGATAAACTCCCAGCTGACCCTGAACTTGTTCAAGACTTGCTGCTCCAGCCAGATGCACATAAATCTATGGGCCCTGATAAGATTCATCCCAGGGTACTGAAAGAGCTGACCAATGTTATCACAGGACCTCTCTCCACTATTTTTCAATGGTCCTGGGAGTCTGGAGATATCTCTGTTGAATGGAAGCTGGCAAATGTTGTCCCAATAGTCAAGAAAGGTAAGAAGGAACACCCCGGTAGTTACAGGCCTGTCAGCCTCACTTCAGTGCCTGGTAAATATTTGGAGAAGGTTATTCTGGGAGTTACTGAAAAACACTTGAGAGACAACACAGTCATTGGTCATAGACTGCACAGGTTCATGAGGGGAAAGTCCTGCTTAACCAACTTAATTTCTTTTTACAGTAAGGTCACCCATCTAGCTAATCAAAGGAAGTCAGTAGATGTGGTGGTTTTGGATTTCAGTAAAGCTTCCGATACTGTCTCTCACAGTATCCTTCTGGACAAAATGTCCAGCACATGACTAGACAAGCCCATAATACATTGGGTGAGCAATTGGCTGGCGGGTTGGGCTTAAAGGGCTGTAGTAAATGGGCTTACATTAGGCTGGTGGCCAGTCACCAATGGGGTGCCCCAGGGCTCCGTTTTAGGGCCAGTGCTCTTTAATAGTTTTATAAATGATCTGGACGCAGGAACTGAATGTACATTAACTAAGTTTGCCAACGATACTAAACTAGGAGGAGCTGTGGACTTCATTGAGGGTAAAGAGGCCTTACAGAGAGACCTGGATACGCTAAAGAGCTGGGCAGTCATCAACCGTATGAAATTTAAGAAGAGCAAGTGCTGGATTCTCCATCTGGGACAGGGTAATCCTGGTGCAGATCTCCTCTTCCTGGTGACCAGCAACAGGACAGGCGGAAATGGAATGAGTTGCATCAGTGGAAGTTCAGCTTGGACATTAGGAAAATATTCTTCACGGAGAGACTGGTCAGTCATCTGGGCGTTGCTTTTAGTCATACGGTTTATTTTCAAGTAGTACTGTGACGAACAGAGAGTTGGACTTGATGATATTTATAAGTCCCTTCCAACTTGAGATATCCTATAATTCTATCATCCTATGAATGGAAGATCCTGAAATGAAAATAAAAATATGACATTTAGATCCTTTAACAATTGCACTTTGGACTTATTGTGAAGTCTATTACTTGTAATAGCCCAGAATATTTCTTTTCCACAGATGCCATATAAAACGGATTTCCCAGATGTTCAACGACCTACTTAGCCATAGATTTCTTTCACCCTGTTTCACTAAAAATAGCATTTGCCAGAAAACTCTACTACATTGAAATCAAAATGCTGCAGAAATTATATTAGTTTTGCTAGATTTTTTTTGTGCACAGTCCTTCCAGGGCAGGGATGTGGACCTGTTCATTCAAGCAGGGTCTCTTGTCTCCAGAGGCATGAAATTTCAGCACCATTGGTGAACACACTCTCTCTTCTCTCTCCTGCCTTTCAGGAGGTCATGCACAAAACAAAAACAAAGATTGGATTTTCCCAAGGGACAGACATTCTCTTTTGAACAGCTTTTCTCAACTCACAGAAACTATACCCTTTGGACCAACCAGGAAAGTTGCTGAATTAAATCTGAAGGAGACTTTAATGAAGTATGTAGGGCCCAGTGACTGGGAGGGGGTGTGAGACTACTGCAGGTATTGACAGAAAGCAGATGAGTAGCATCATTTAGTAAACAGAAACCCATGCTCAGATCCATATCAGAAAGGGTTTCTGGGATGAGACTGGAGTTTCAGTTGATAATCAAGGGATTTCCTGCCCTGAAGCCCGAAGGAGAAAAGCTGTACTCTTATCCTTTGCTTTGTAATATGACGGAAGAAAATCCACAGCGCTTCTCTCCCAGTGGGACAGGATAATTCCTATGATTTTACTATATTACTCTTTCCAAAATGATGCTACTGCACTCTTTAAACTGCAACTAGATATGAACAGCTTCTTTCCTGCTCTTTACAGCTCAGTGACCCCAGACTGCAAATCATTTCATGTGATTCCTCCTGTCCCTCTACTAACCTCAAGGACGTCCTTCAGCTTCAAACGATTCTTATTTATCTTTGGTTGAAAGCCCACAGTCCAGGCATCATCATCAACATCTCCTTGGATAAAGTTTTTCCAACAGTAAGTATAGTCTGGAGAAATGGAAACAAGATGGCTAACATGAGTTTATTCAGACACCAGACAAGCTCAGGGAACAAGACTTTTTAACCTCTTCCTTCTGCCCATGACACAGAGACAACTTGTCCGTGGACAGGCCAGCTGATGGACGCTGTCCACTCCGTATTTGGTGTGGGCATCTCTCTGGGCACTTTCCCCCCCCCCCCCTCTTATCAGCCGAGGCCCCCTTCAGACAGCTTTATCCCAGTAGCTGCATTTAGTCTGCTAGGACAAGGGAGAAACACTCTATCTCCCATTCCCCCAGGAGGGACAGAAAGATGGTGTCTCTAAACAAGGGAGAATTTTCATAGAGGTCAGGTTCCTTAGAGTCCTGTTCCCCTTCTGCAATATTTGAACATCTTATTTTGGATGCGACACTCAGTCACTGAATGGTGATGGATGTGCCCCCAAGAAACTGAACAGGACACTGGGCACAGAAACAAGCCCATACCAGATTCACCCATACACAAAGTTCACCATTTCACCCCTTCCCAGTCACATAAAGCACAGGAAACCTTACCTTCAATTTCCATGACAGCTATGGTTACTTTCGCCAAGCTCACAAGGTTCTTTAGACCTTGACGGATTCTTTCATCTTCTATGTAATAAAGTCGTGCTACATGCATGTCTATGTTCACATTTGAGTGCTTCTTTAAGAAATTCAATATTTTACGGCAGCAGTTCACACAGGGACTCCAGGACAAGTACCAGGTGACGGAACAGTTGACATAATTATTGGATCTTCTCATCTTAAATATCTTCTTCAGGAAGTAGACTTCAGCATGATAGCGATCATTTTTGACCCAGTGTATCCAAGGCGTGCCAGTCTCACCCCACTGCAGTTTGCATAGTAGGTATGTGTCCTGTGGAGTCTCATAGGGGTCAAAATGATACTTTAACACATTCTTAGATACATACATGCTGAAACAGAAAAGAAACATCAAGGAATCACTGGTTACAACTTTGTTTTCAGTGGTCCTCCAGTACACACAAAAAAGGGGAGAGTAGAGAAAATGAGTGGAAAACTGAGAAGGGCAAAACATGACAGAGCAATGCAAGGAGAATGCAGAGGTAGGCACCATGGCAGGATAAAGGAACCAAACCTTGAATCACCCAATCCTCCCTTTGTCTGCAGCTGCATGCAGAACTTTCACCTCCTCACCCCTCCCTATGACTGCCCTATACCTCATCAGCACGAGTAATTGTAAATGTACTATATATCTTTTTTATATGTCTGACATATTTCCAGGGCTCATATGTATCCCTTTTTGATGTAGGGAGCTGTTGTGAATTTTGTAAAATCTAAAAAAAAAAAAAAAAAAACCCAAAAAAAC